ATTTGAATAAGTTCAATAAAAATTTGTTCTTTCTTTGTGGCAGGGTACAATTGAAAACACTGGTTATATAACTGGCCCTTTTACCAAAATGTCATATTTGAGAATATGCATAAAATGCCTGACTTTAAGGGTTCTCAGCCTTCCCATGAATAAATAAAAATTGTCACTTCCTGGCAGGCCCAGGAGCCTTAAGACAGTAAGTAAAATCTAAAGACTGCCTTGGTTTGTCCTTTGAGCCTCAAGAGATTTTTAAACCTAAAATTAATATGTGGCCAAATCATCATACTTGCAGGCAAAATATGATAAAACTAAAATATAAACTTATTTCACAAATTTATCTTAATCTATCTTTGGTAAAAATCAGGATGATTTCAGGGGTGTCCAACCTCTTTCCTTTTCCTCCAACATGGGACCAGACCCAAAATCCAGGACACGTCTATCCTGGTTATTAAGAAACAACAAAACCTAACTACATAGGTGTGATCCCACCTATGGTGCATGGGAGGGTACATGTCAGATCTATTAAGCACAGAGTATAAAAATCTTAATCCAACAATTAAGTAAAGGAGGTGAGAGATATATCAACCAGTATCATTTAAGCATTTCAAATTGTATATAAAATCAGCACACTGTAACTCCCTCAATGCATTAACGTATACATGATCTACCTCTTTTTGATTTAATAAAAAAAGCAAAAAACAAGACCTAACTACAAAATTATACAGGAGTGATGTTTTCCAAGAAAGGTCTTGATCAAGAGGAGGACATGAAAGTTATTAGGGTAGAAATGAAGCAATTGTGTTTAAAACATCTTGACAAAAAGAGCTACAAGAGGGTTGTCATGGATAAACACCTGATTTAAAAAACGGTCACGAAAGACTGCAAAACCCACAACCTTGCACAAAGGTCATCAAAGCTTTACACACACAAAAAAATACTGAGGCTATCTGCCCAGCAATTGCCTACTCTCAGACTGGTATCACCTTTGGTGTTGATCCTTGTAGCTGAAGACAATTATCTTAAAGCAATTATGTAATTCTCTTTTCTTTTACTTTAAAAATCTTGTCTTCCTTTACCCTCCTGACTATGCACATACTTTATTCTGGTACATGTATTCCCATCACAATGTCCTTTTCAAACAAATATCATTTTCTTTTATATATCCTCTCTCTGTTTGTAGTTTCTTTGCATAAATATATTTGTGGTAAATTCTCTTCATTTTTGCTCCTCTGAATATTCCTCCCTCATGAAGGAAAATTTGTTTTGCTATATTTACAACTTGTTATTGTCTCTCAGACATTGAAAATAGGCTTGGATTCCAATTTTCTCTTGATCATCTTCTGATACTCTGATTAAATATATCCCGACTTCTTAACTTCTCTCTCAGTTTTCCTAATGCTTATTCTGTGCTGCACGTTGAGTAATTTCTTCTGATAGCTCTTCCAGTTTATTAATTCTCTCTTCAGCTAGGTTTAATTTACTGCTTACCTCATGCATTTAATTTCTAATTTCAGTAAATGTATTTCTCACTTCTAAAAATACTATTTAATCCAAAACGACTGTTTTGTCTATAAGCATCCTCCACCTTACTTCCAATTTCTCTTCTTCTCTAAACATAATAAAGATACACAAGTTCAACATATCTGATGAGTTCAATACCTGCAATCTTGGAGATTTAATTCTACAGTCTGCAGTTGATGCCCTCTCTCGGGGTAGCTTATTTTCTTGTGCATCTAGTGATTTCTGATTGAGAACTCGCTTTTGCTGAAACTTGCCCTAAATGAATCTGGAGGCTTATTTTTGAGAGTATTCTTCAGATGAGATTTGTGTTTGTTTCTGTCATGTGGCGGGACAATTTGCATCTTTTTTCTCTCTTGTCACCGTGCATGTAACTTTAGCTCCCCAAATAATATGAACTTAGGCTAAAAATTAGATATTGTTGGGGCAAACATTTCTCCCTCATTCCACCTGAAGCCAATGATGAAATGCCTATTGTCTTTTATACTATGAGTTTTATTAACTATTGATACACTGGAGATATTACCTTTCATGGATTCAGATGTTATGGGAGGGTGTTCTAATAGTTTTTTACCCCCTATCAGGACTCAAATACTATACATAGCATTTCAACAGAATGATTATATACATGTATTTATACACACACACGTAGTTTCACCTGATTTTAATTTAGGTATATTGTCCCTATAACTCGTGATAGCACTCCCTCATTTGAATAATACATTATAGAGTTGCTGAGAAAAATATTCTTTTTCTACACTGTCACACAGAACACTTCTGATAGTTGATGCTGTGTTTTCTTTTTTCCCCCACACTAATCAATCGTCCAATGCCAATTGAGTGTCCTACAATTTAGTCCAATTCTAACACTATCTACCTGAACACAGCATCAGATCACACAGGTGAAGGGTTCAGTTCCACAAGGCTGTCCCATTTCAGGTGCCAACTGCAAGTCTGGGCTTCCTGCACTTCTGACTGACCCCGGCTATAAATCAAGGTTCTCACAAACTTTCTGTATGCTGAATAATTTGCTAGAATGGCTCACGGAAGTCCAGAAAATGCTTTACTTATGTTTACTATAAAGGCTACAACTCAGAAACAGCTAGATAGAAGACATACACAGAGGAGAGTATGGGGCGGGGGAGGTGGTGAGGCTTGCATGACCTCTCTGGATCAGCTGCCCTCCACTCGTAAGCACCAAGGTTGTTCACCAACAGAGAAGCTCATCAAATCTTGTTGTTCAAGAGTTTTCACAGAGCTTAATCTCCAGGGCACATTCCCTTCCCAGAGGTCAGTGGGTAGGACTAAAATTTCCCACCATCCATAATCACTTGATCTTTCTAGTGTCCAGCCCATCTTGAGACCATCTAAAGGCCCTACCCTAAGTCACCTTCTTAGCATAAACCCAAATGTGACCCCAAAAGGGCTCATATAATTAACAAAAGACACTTCTATCACTTAGGAAATTTCCAGGATTTTAAGATCTCTGTGTCAAGAACTAGAGACAAAAACTAAATACATTTTTTATCATACCAATTTAAACCAATCTTACAGCTGCCAGGGATGAGCACATCACCCCTCGAGGGCAAACGAACATCCAGCCTGTCTTTGTTTAACCTTCTGGTTTCATACTCATTGTTTCTGGCCTTTGCTTTCTTCACTTTGTGGACTGATCAATTACGCTTTCAAATCACTACAAATTGTTTTTAATCCCCTCCCAACTTCTTAGTCCATGATATTTTTGGAAACACTGCTGTCTACATCACCTAGTTTCCTATATCTAACAAGTACAAGATATATAGAAGGAAATGCATCAATTCTGCAGAAAGAATGAATGAGGCACTTCTGTTTGAAGTACTGCTAATATTTTGCAATAAATTTGAAGTGTAGTTAAAAAAAAAGTTCTTTCTTTTTAATTCTATGATTTAGAATTAAATCAGCTTGGCAAGGTAAGCTGTGAAAATATTGTGAAGGAAGGAAAGTGCTTTATAGACAAAGCTGTTCATTATGACACAATTCATATTTGTAAAAATTTGAGAACAATTAAGGTCAGAGAAGTGCCTAAGTAATGGGTGATTATGTAACCACTAGATATGATGCCCATTAACATCATGGGACCGACCCAGAAAATGTTTACGGAACAAATTAAATGCAGGAAGCAACTTCAATGTGTATTACAATTATAAATAAGACACAAATATGCACACATGAATGTGAACCAGGAGCCAACTGAAAAAATTAACTTATTAGGAAAGCAACCTTTGGGATGCTTTTTCTTATTTACAATTTGCAATTATTGGTATTGAAGTGTCCCAGGGACAATGGATATGAACTTTAAATGAAAGAAAGTATAGATGTATCTATCTATCCCCTCTTGGAAACAACCTGAGAGGCAAATACATTCACTTGGTGTTGGACAGGCCTGTGTTCAAATCTTTGTTCTGTTGTTTAAGAGCTGTGGCCAAATCTTCACTCCTCCCACTGTGGCTAGGGAATTCTGGCACACTCCTAACTTTATGCTCAGCCACACGATAATGTTGGCCAATGGGACATTAGCAACAATACTTTGATTCCTCCTGTGCTTTGGAGTTTTCTCTGCCACCTCTACCTCTCCATGAGAACACCCCAGACTGGTCTGCTGACAAGACAGAGAAATACTGGAGGACAGCCAAGTTGTTGCTGCCACAGTCCATCTCATCTGAAGCTGACCGTAGACATTTGGTGAAGATACTAAAAATCAGAACCATGCATTCAACTTACAGATTCATGAACTGAACAAACAGTTGTTGACTTAGGTGACTATTAGAATAGTTTGTTACGCAGCATTATCTATGTCAGTCGATAGCTACTACACCTTGTCCTCTTCATCTCTGTACAAGTCCTACCACAATGTCTGGTGCCTAGATAATAGTGCCTAAACACTATTGTGTCTGTCACTGTCCCTTCTCTGCAGGGAGAATGAGACATTTATGCTTGCGTCACCCCTCTCCCCAGCATACTTAACATAGCAACTATTTTTTTTTTACACCTATTTCCTTATACATTCCTCTGTTAAGCCTTGAATGAATTGTAAGAGGAAAGTTAGTTACTCACATTACTTCTACAGCACCCAGCACAGAGTAGACTCTATAAATGTTTTTGCCTGAATTAAATAAATAGATTGGGAGAGCTGACGTGAACCATAACAGCCAGCAGCAGATGGCAAGAAGAGAAGCTATACAGGGTGGTTCTCATGCCAGGAGACTTTAGGCTTTCCAGAAAGCTCACAGAAGGGTGGGGAAAAAAAAAAACAAACAAGGAAGAAAAATGTTTTTTTCTGCTTACCTGTGCCTGTCTCTCTCTCACAGCACTGCACGCAAGCTCCCAGCCGTCTGTGCCCCTGGGAGCTCCCTCCAACTCAGCCTCCCTCTGCCAGCTGTGGACACTTCACTCCACCCCTGGGGATGTGCCCCACCTGCCAGCACAGCTTTTTGGGAACCTACCTTCAGATCAGACACATCCCTGTAGCACTGCTCGGAGCGGGTATGGTCTGAGAGCTGCACATTCCAGAAGCAGGGCAGCTGGTAGACAAGGAAGGGGTTTTGTTTGATGACAGCGTTGAAAATATCCTGGAGGACAAAAGCCAAAGACACCATGAAGACAATCAGGTGGGTTCAGCTCCCAAGGCACTGTATCCCCCTTAAAGGGCTTCCTCTGGGCCCCTTGCTTTGAACACAGCTGGCTCGTACCGATGGGCATTTCTCTTGCTCATTATCTCTAGGAACCAAGCCACAATGTTTGGACAGAGAAGGGGAGAATGCCCCAGGCTGGTCAGGAGCCCAAGGATCTGGTGGGTCTCCTAAAGCACTATCCAGCTAGTTCACGTGGGGCGGACAGGAAGCGACTTTCCTGCCTCAGCCGACATATAATAAATGAGGTCTCTTTCCTTCCCCTCTTCCCAGCCTATGCAGGAGCCCTGTATCATCCATCCTGAGCTCCTGAGGAGGAAACTGCGTGATGACAAGCAGCCCTGCTAATTCAGGGGCCGAGACAAATTACAGATTGTCCCTTTCAGCAGTGCTTCCCTGGGCTTTCTGTGGATTCAGTGATGGATGCTCCTTGGATTCCTGCAGGCCACGGTGCCCACAGCACACATCCTCATTTCAAAATCCCACTCTGACTTGTCTAGGGGGAGTTTTACCTCTTTGGGCTCCTCTCTAAGCTCTCAAACTGGCCTGTACTCATTAACTAGCTGCTGACAGGTGGTGCCAGGGGTGAATTACGGGCCTTCTCTGCAGGAGAAGGCTGAACGACTATCCCCAGTGGACATGGACATACAATGGCTAGCTTTTGGGGACATAATCAAGTCATTGTGACCTGTCTTAAATTATGAGGATGGCAGACACTTTCCCCCTCCAGTTTAAAACAGCTCTCCCTGGGTAATGCTTTTTTTTTTTTTTTTAATTCATTCATTAAATATGGTTGGAAAAGGAAATCAGTTTCTGGGTTTCTTGGGAAATACAGAATGATTAATGCTTCAAAAAAATAGCAAAGTAACCTTATAGAGTTTCTTGTTTCCTCTGTATTAGAAAACTTTGCAGGAATTCAACAAACTGGGCCATTGAACATTGAACAAAAATGTGCATGGTGAGCTTGTTCTTGGGATGAAAAGGCAAGGATGAATTGCAGAAAGCCCAGAGAAATCATCTTCGTGTTTCCCCATAACGACCAATACCACCGGAATACCAAAATCTAAATGGTGATCCTGGTACATCCAAGGTCAATGATTCAAACCCTTCCTTTTTCCTAGTTAAAGTGAGAAATGCTGCTTTTTAAACTAAATACTTGTTGGGTGGGCGCAGTGGTGCATGCCTGTAATTGTAGCACTCCGGGAAGCCCAGGTGGGTGGATTGTTTGAGCTCAGGAGTTCAAGATCAGCCTGAGCAAGAGCCAGACCCTGTCTCCAAAAACAGCTGGGCATTGTGGTGGGTGCCTGTAGTCCCAGCTAGTCAGGAGGCTGAGGCAAGAGGATCGTTTAAGTTCAAGAGTTTGAGGTTGTTGTGAGCTATGACACCAGCACAGCACTCTCCCCATGGTGACAGAGTAAGACTCTGCCTCAAAATAGATAAACAAGTAATTAAATAAAAATAAATAAATACTTAGACTAGTTTGGTGAAGTTCAAGAACCTCTTCAGATTGTCTGGATAACAAGGTGATTTCTAGAGTAAGGTGATTTCTAGAGTCAGGTGTTTTGTCCTTTCTAGTTAAATTCATTTCCCTTGACTATAGGGTGACCAGTATAGGTTCTAAACAAAAAGCTTGGATTAAATAAAAGTGAGACTGGGTTTGCCAGACAGGCAAATGGAACCTTATGTGGGAAATACAGTGTGGCACCCCAGGGTCTCAGAGAGCAGCTGCTGTGCAAACCACACTGCCCGTGAAAAGGTGCCCTCCTCTGACTAAAGCTGACTGCACTCTCCTTATGATTCTGGTCAACAAACTATGAGCTCTGCAGGGCAGAGCGCCGCATCCCTGTCATCCTCTTTCTGATCACGGCCTCTGGCGTACACAGTGTTCAGGGAAAGTCTGCTGGGTGAACAAATGAATGACCAAAGGGAATGAACTAGTGAGTTCTTGTCTTAGAATGTCAAGTACAGGGCAGCTCTGTCCACTTGGACAGAGTCACACAACAGGTAGAAAAATAATTCGACTCATCTCCTTTTATGTGTCTTTGAAGAAACAACCCCAGAGTGCTCAGGTGGCTGCTCACCTGGTCAGCTAAGGATGTAGACAGCATGCCCATGAGCTCTCTCTCCGCCGTCAGCCTCCACATCTGCTCCCATTTCATCTTCCGCAGCTTATCCAGGAGCAGCAGGATCACCCCTGGGCAACAGCAAAGGATAGAACAAAAACGGCATTAAGACGGAAAGCCACAGCCTCCCGAGGACGAGGTCTCATGCAGAGAAGAGTCCTAAGCCTTGCTGTGTATAACTCTTCCCTCTCAAAGTTCTCCCCGAGAGGCTCCACTCTATGGGCACACTTCGGAGATGAAAATACCTGGGGTCAGGCCTCGGGCTGCCAGCTGCTTGGGAGGAGACTAGAACATCTCCCTGGACATCCTCATCGTATGGAGAACAGGAACACAGGCAGCAAAGCGTTGTTATGAGGATTAAGTGAGATGAACGAAAAGAGCCCAGTACTTCCCAGAGATGGGACAGCGGTAAAGTCTGCACAACAGGGTGAGTGGACTTGTTGCTGCCCAATTGTACACATAAATATGGCTAAAATGGTAAATGTATGTTATGTGTATTTAACACAACAATGAAATCCTAGCTCTGCACCTGGTACACAGTATATTTGTTAAAAGCATTAGGTTCTCTCCTGTGCTTTTCCCCAGAGATATGACAACCTAGCTAGGGTTGGTTGATAGATGACATTCGTGTAATATACGCTGTTTATTAGTACAGATAAAAATTAGCTCCTCTGGGACTTTATTCTGGGTACTATTTTGCCAATTTGCTTGACAATTACCATGTGGGTCTGTCTCAATGTTCCCCATGTCACCAGAGTCTTCTTCAACCCACTCACAATCAGCACTTATTGGGGAAGGCAATGCTGACATTGTATCTGTAAGCGGAGCTTCAAAAGCTCATAGGAAACAAAAAATAAGAGGTTGGTTCTACTCCTTGCTGCTTTCTTTCTTCTTCGTCTTCTTTTTTTTTTTTGTTGTTAGTTTTTATGGAGAGGGACTTGGGATAAATGGGGGATTGTTTAGGGAAGGAAATTCTCATTGCATATTAGGTCAGAAAATTAAGTTCATCAACTCAACATGGAAAAAGTGCTTATACCTCCTTGCTGAACATCACTATGGTCACCTGCCAGGTACTCCCCTTGGGGAGCTATGCTCGGACACCAGTGCCTAGTCTGCCTGTCAAAACAATTTTGGAACTCTTTATGGAATGGCCATCAGATCTGTCATTGTACGAGGTTGGACAATTAAGTTTGAGAACTCATCCTAGAAAAAGTGCTCCCTACCTCATTACCGAATATCGCTATGGTCACCAGATGGCCAAGGGGAGACCTTGGACGGTGACCATGGTGATATTCAGCAATGAGGCAGGTGGCACTTTTTCTAGGATGAGTTTGCAAACTTAACTGCTACGCCCTGTACATTCTTTTGTATCTGCAATGAAACAACTAAATGTATTACCCAGGCAAAAAATAAATAAATCAATAAAAATCTAAAGAGAAAACCATGTTTTGACTTAGCGGAATGGCTTAGAAACAGCTATCTACCACCAGGTCAGTTAGATTCCACAAAAAACTCACCAAGCACAAAACACGAAAAGCCCAGAGAATTTCTCTGCAGGCCACTGTAGTCAATTTGGTAATTTGGTGGATGGAACTGTGGCACCCATGGCCCCTCAGATCAATCCTCTTCAGGGTTCTTACTGTGTTTCCCGAAAATAAGTCACTGTCTTATATTTATTTTTTTTCTCAAGAAGACACACTAGGGCTTATTTTCAGGAGATCTCTTATTTTTATTAAGTATAATACAACAATCTACATTTATTCAAATACAGTTAAGTCATCTTTTTCTGGAACATGACAGGGGGAGCTGACCTTGTTGGTGGGGCTGGTGCTAGTGATGCGTGAACTCCTTTCCCCTAGCTATTCGCACGTGTGCAATAGGATGCCTGGGACCGCAGTTACCACACGTGCACCAGCGCAAGTGCAAACTGCTTGGAGAAAGGTACTGCGGCAGATAAAAGGTATTCCAGTCTTCCTTACCACTCCATGCCGAAATGCATGGCATCCATCACTTGGTCTTATTATCGGGGTAGGGCTTATATTTAACATAATGCATAGAAATCCTGTTAGGGCTTATTTTGGGGGTAGGTCTTATTTTTGGGGAAACACGGTAGCTCAGCACAATGGTCAGTGGAGAAAACTCCAGGCAGCTTAAAAATGCGCTTAGTTGATACCCAGTACATGCATTTCTAAAACGGGAGGAAAGAAACAGATTTTCCCAAATCACACATAAATGTCAACTCTAAGACTTTTTACTTATTCCACTGGTACATATTTGGAGAAAAAGGAGATTCACCATTTAGTGAAGGGTGTTTGCTCAGGTGGAGTTAAAGTAAAGAACAGTATATAAATGGTTATGGGAAGAATGGGCTAACACACAGAGATCTGAACGTGTAAGTCAGGAGGGCAAATTACATCTCTTGCATACCTCTCTTGCTTTGTTAGATTTTTGGAATATATCCTTTCCTTTCATGCTCCCAAGGGTCTGTACAAGACAGATTTTGTCATCTTTATTTTGTATGTGGAAAAACTGAGAGGCTAAGCCAGACATTTTTCTAGCTCACAGTTCAAAGGTATGTGTTAAAACTCAGATCTGCCTTGACTTCCAAAGCCAGTGCTTCTTCCAATAAACCACATGTGTAAAATGAGGAAAATTGTCCTACACAATTCAGTAAACTCATGCCCTCTTTTGGTAGGCTGGTAATGTTTAACTACCTACCAGCTGTCCCAGGGGAAAAACTAAAACAACTTGCTTTGCAGCATTTGCCAATGACAATGGTGTAAATACTCCCATCATTGCTCATGTCAAACTAGCAATGTGATGACATCAAATAGTAAGCTGGGGAGAGAAAGGTACAGTTAGCCCCCCAAGCCAGTGCATGCTTGCTCTAGCACAATACTGAAATCATTCTAAAACTGTTTTAGTAACAGTAAAATTCACCTCAAATGCATTATTTGATTGCTTCTCTTGGAGAGAAAGAAAAAAAAAAAAACATTTACAAAAAGTTACAAATCCAGAGTAATAGTCTCAGTCACTGGTGATTGATTCAAGAAAACAGAGTCCAGTCAAACACGTGAAAGAATTTCATTAAGTCTTAGCACAAAAACTAATTTTAATTAGGTTGGGCAGATGCTCTAATACAGAATTAAAAATGGAAGGGGTGGGGTTGGAAGCTGTAAATAAATGATCAAAGATATTAATGCACATTTTGAAGCCTCTAGGGAGGTCCGTGATAGATTTATCAGTCTCTGGAGACTGAGCTGAGAAGCCTCTAGGGAGGTCCATGATAGATGTATCAGTCTCTGGAGACTGAGCTGAGAACTGTTGCTTTTTAGTGGTGTTAAGACTTGGCAAGTCCTAAGTGGCAGATGTGATTCAGCGTCACTTGTCAGGCTCCTTCAAAAGTGGCAATGTCTAAAGCTGTAAATAAAATGACACGCTGAATACAGAAAAGCAAGACCATTGTCCCAGCTGGCCAACCTTTACTTTTTGTGTGATTTATGTTTATTTTTTAAAATTATGACTATTTTAAACCAACAGAAAAGTCAAAAACTACTGTAAGGGATGCCCACCACAGATGTAACAGATGCTAACAGATTGACACGTGCTGTTAAAAAAAAAATAAGCATAACAGATAAATCTAAAGTTCCTCCGTCTCATTCTGTCTCTTCTCTTCCTCAGAGGCAGTAGCTGGCATCCTCTGGTGGTTGTGTTTCATACCTATGTGTGTTTTTATATTTTTATTCCTTATGTTTAATAATACACAATGTATCAGCTTGGCGCTGGTAGCACAGTGGTTATGGCACCAGCCACATACATAGAGGCTGGCAGGTTTGAACCCGGCTGGGGCCAGCCAAATAACAATGACAACTGCAACAAAAAATACCTGGGCTTTGTGGCGAGTGCCTGTAGTGCCAGCTACTTGGGAGGCTGAGGCAAGAGAATCGCTTAAGCCCAAGAGTTAGAGGTTGCTGTGAGCTGTGACACCACAGCACTCTATTGAGGGTGACATAGTGAGACTGTCTCAAAAAAAAAAATACACAATGTACGGTATTTTTAGTATACTCTGTATCACATATTTCCTATTCCAATTTGCCTTTTCATCAATTGTTATGTCATTAGGATTCAACCATGTTAGCATTTCAATATCAAATTTATTCATCATAGTCACTTTATTCATTTATTTTATATATGTAAGAGGATTTATTTTTGCATTCCCCTACTGAAAGACATTTTGGTTGTTTCCTATGTTTTTGCTATTATAAACACAATTTTTTTTTTTTTTTTTGCAGTTTTTGGCTGGGGCTGGGTTTGAACCCAACACCTCCGGCATATGGGGCTAGTGCCCTACTCCTTTGAGCCACAAGTGCCACTCCTTGCTCTTATAAACAATGCTGCAATAAACAGCCTAATATCTATCCAGGTTTCACTGGGCACGTGTGTGAGTACCAGCTTCGACCTCTGGCCGGGGACAGCTGTGTTGCTGGTGCTGTTTGTCTTGAAACATCTTCAGTTACTCCATCTTCCTTCCTTACAGCTGGCCCATTACTAAGGTCACTGATTCTACACAGGGAATGGCTTTGACCTCTTCTTTTATTCATTCATTCAACAGTTATTTATCAAGCACCAACTATGTGTGATCTAATGGAAGTAGATCTGGACTTGTTCCCCGCCCCCCCGCTTTCCCCAGACTCATGGGCTTTGTTCCAAATATTAATTCAGCATATATTTACTGGTGGTGTAGATTCAACCTTTGCCAGGCCCGTTTATGGAGCTCATCTATATAAGACATACACCATTATAATTCAACGTGTGGACAGTAGACGCTGAGAATGTGCACTGCCTTTGAAGGGAGCTCCAGAGGGAGGCCCAGGCTGCCCAGGGCTAGGATTTGGCCAGGCACACAAGGGGAGCAAGGAACGTCTGAGGAAGGAGCACGGACAGAGGCATGAAGGTCGGAGACAGCGTGCCGAGCCCAGGCTGTGCAAGAACTAGCACATGTGGTGGCTAGCCAGCCTCAACAGACGTGCCAAGATGTGCTTCTGAATAGTGGAGCAGGCAATGGTCAGGA